TTCACTGCCTCTTCTATGCTTTCCCAACTGGATGGAAATCTCCATCTTCTCATAGTATCTTATTTGACAAATATATTGCTTGGTTCCTGAAAATCTAGGTTTTGCATCCTCCCAGGTGGTTTGTGTTTCTAAAGGAGGGCAATGCTTTTATTTTTTCTCACTGTATTTAATAGCTCCATAAACCTCCCCCCAGCTTTTTTAATTCGGTGCCTCTCTGTTGACAGTTGAGCACTGAGACCGTTGTGATTTGACATGATTATGTGGGTGTGGGGTAAAGAAAGTGTCACTGAACATTTACAACTCCATCCCACTCCTGCAAGAGAGGCAGCTCTGTGCTGCTTCAGTCCCAAACCATCATGCTTGTAAAGGGAGTGCTGTAAAAACACATAAAATGTGTGCACAGGCCACGGAGCAGCTCCAGGATGGGAAAGGATTAGCAAAGGACTGCACAACACAGCTCCAAGAGACCTGCAGTAATGCAAAAGAAATGCATGTAGAATATTAAAAGGATAAATCTGAGAAATAGCCTGTGAAGGAGGCAATTTAATAAGGGTGATAAAGGAGACTTGGTCAGAGCTGTGTTTACCTCAAAGCACATCTATTTAATTGTATTTTACTTTTGGAGTTGCTTTTAACCTGATTGCCAAGTGATACTGTTGCTGCCCGAATTTCAAATCACTCTGACCATCTCACCTGTAATCCCTTCACAAGTGATGCCATGACCTGGGATTTGTCAGCTGACATGTCACTCCTCATGGCAGCATGACACTCCATCACAACAAATCAGTCAAACAGGAAGATTCAGAAAGAAAACACCCTATGTAAGGCAGGGAGTTAGAGAGCAGTAGGAGATTTGCAAGGCTGAGACCCATCTGTAATTCCACAATGGAGGGATTTCTCTTGTTCTAGTTTTAGTAGTTTATGTGGCATATGTTTGATACAGCAATAGCTGACCAAAGGTCAAACTCTGCTTCTGGCTACACTGGCGAAAATCCAATGGATATTGACAGTTCCTGGACATGCACTTGTCCAAAGAATTAATCATATATGCTCTTCCCATAGAATAGTCCCTAGCAAATGCTGAGATGTCCAGAGATTTTTCACAGACGGAAAATGGCCTTGCTAACTCTTAAGGATTGTCTACTGCAGGAGACAGAAAAGCTCTAGGAGGACTGTGGTTTTTTAATGCCTGAAATATGTGCATCTCACACAAGTAGTCATCAGCACAAAGCTTTCCAGCTGAAGCAGTTGGAGTGTATGAACTCATTAAGTAAACTAATTTTTACCTAGTGTTAAAAGTGATCTCAGGTACCTTGATGATCCCTTTTCTCCTTTAATAAACACAGTCTTTTTATGCTGTATGAAAACAGAACAGCAAAGCAGGTCTTTCTGTGGAAATTTAATGACATCTCAGCTTCAGTCAATTTGATGAGGATAGAACGTGAAACTGTCTCCCAGGTACAGGACTATTATGCAAAGTAAAAACCCTTTGCTAGAAAATTTGCAAGAGTCTGGAAAATACCATGAATCTCTCTGTTGAGAAAGATACATGTCAGGCTTCCATTACTGATTCCATTAAATACTCAGATGAATGTGTTTGTTTCTGCCTCTCTAATAAGAACAAAGTAATTTAGTGTTTAATAGTTATCCATGTAGTATCTTTTCCCATGGATTTAGAGGGTGTTACCACAGTACATTCTCCCAGAGTAAAGATAAACATTCTGGTTTAATGCTGTTCAGATTTTTGGATGCCCAACTTGAAGGACTTTAGAGTTTCAAAAGTGCTGGGAATTTGCATTTTCAGGTGGAATTAAGAGCATCTATTAGAGTGTAGGAACTGGGCCTAGGATGTCTCAGAAAGCCAACTCAGAAGTCCTCCTGCAGCATGAATGCTTCAGTGAGTCATCCCAGATCAAAGAGCAAGTTAGAAAGTGAGGCAAGGCAGAAACCAGATCTTGTGACTCCGGGTGTCTGCTTGGATGATGAGATTATCCTGCTCTGCAGAAAGCTGCCGCCAGGCCACTGACCTATTTACCAGCGTAGGTCAGTCCCATTAGCTCAGTAGTTATTGTCCTGTTGTTATAATTAGTGCCATTTCAAATAAGCAGCCAGCTCTGTGGAAAGGTCAGTACCTTTCTAAGCTCTTCCTCTGTGCAAATTGGGTTGCTAAGGAAACGACACCGGAAAAGTAATCAATCCTTGTTAGACCTGCGCTAGGACACGCGGTTGCTTAGCTGCTGGCCAGCACAGCTCATCGAGAAGACAATTCACTCCATCAGTGTAACTCAGAGCAAACACTGCTCAGCCCTGGCCTAGCCACACATGGCAAGTACAAACGTGTTTTGAAACAATACCAGCTGTTAAAGCATTAATTCTGAAGTGGAGCAAGGGCAATAAATCCTGTTTGGGAAGACCTGGGATATATCTGGCAATATTCCCTCTAGGGTGCACATCAGACAAGCCCCTCAAACATGGACTGTACCACTCAGGAAATACAGCTGATTATAAATGTTCAGACCCATGTTGATGTGCCATCCAGCTGGCAAAGTAACTTCACCACTTCTGTAAAATGTGGTGCCTGTTAAAAGGCCTGTCTTGTAAGTTCGTGCGCATCCTTACTGACAAAACAAAGCTTTGAAAATGGAGCACGGTGGTTACCGTATTCAGTCTGGCTTTAGAGGCAAAGCCAGGTCATTAGTGGTCAGCATTATTTTATTACACTTCATGGGGCTGGATCACCAAGGAGTGATAGTGAAGTCACATGAAATTCTTACCCAAATCAAAGGACTCAGAGAAACTGTACAATTCCTGATGCTCTTTATAGAAATGAATAAATAATGGAGGAGTATAAATCCCACTGCCTGCAGTAGCACGTGCTCTATGTGGATATGTATACAACTTCTAAACACTACAATCTATCGACAGAACAAAAACTTTTGGAAACATCAGTGTCAGACCTTTAAATCTAAAGATATCTTGGCAGGTTACAAATCTATCTTGTGGTAGAGTCTTTTTGTTTCTGGTAATAGAAATTTACTGCCTAAATGCAGACACTTTTAAGGAAGAACATGAAAGGCACAAATCAATGCACTTACATATGTGTAATATTTTAAAATTTTAAATGCTTTTATTTTTAAATAAAATAAATATTTTATTTTAAAATACTGTGTTTAGACTTAAAATTAAGCCTAATTTAAGAGAATATGCTGGATTAAGTTCCAAAATCAGTGATGCATGAAATTCATTCTTGCATTTTCATGAATTAGTGAAGGACAATAATCTATCTGCTTGAGTTTACAAAGGGTTTGTAATCTCTTAACTGTGTAATCTTATCCTGAAAACTGTGACTCTTGCACAGAGAAATCCTTATATTCCTGTTGAAATACTAGTATGGTACTGATTCAGGATGAAAACGGGATCTTAAGATGGACTGAAAGGGATGTTTATGGTCCTTTAAATAAGCTTTGGATCAAGTGATTAATGAGGCATCAATACCACCATAATTCTAGCTTGATTTTTATTTCACCAGGATGTCTGATCCAGCTTGTAACACAGCCCAGACCTGTTTTGCTTAGGGCATATAGGGCAAGGTCAGAAATCACATTAAAGGGATATGTACCAAATGAAAATATTCACAAAAAAAACATGTGATGTAGAATTGAGAGGGTGCAATCAGGCAGGGTGACAACAAATACTGCTTACATTTTAATTTTATGTAAATAACAAAATATAGAAGATTCAGGCAGATAGGATTATGTGATGTCTCACAAATGCTTATGCCACTTTATATGCCACGAAGAGAAATATGCTAAAAAACTACTCCTTAGGTTTCAGTGCTGAGTATCTTTCTAATGGAAAAAAAATGCTCCCAGCTGATGGATAAAATACAGAAAATATTATTATATATTTATAATCATACATATATAGAAATATACCTACAGAAAATATTATTTTAAATATTATTAGCCTTATTATATCTATTCTGCCACAGTTCCCACATTGCACACTGAATATATCAGCTGTTTATATAAAAAGAATTTTGACAAATTTCAAAACTTAGTCTCTCAAAAATATCCACCAACAAGATAGTATATATGAAATTTTGAATCCATGTTTAACTGAACCTTTAAAAAGCTGATAAAAGGAAGGGAAATTCTACACTGTATCCATAATATGACTGAGGAAACATTGCAGGTTGTACAGTGATCTCTATTATGAATATATACCAAGTCTAGTATCAAAAGGACTTTTTTCCCACGTAAGCATACAATGTTTATATCTGAAACATCAGTCTTTATGAAGAGGTGCTTTTACTTTCAAGTTAGATTAATTCAGCCCTGAAATTTGCATAGAAATACATTTTCTAGTCTTCTAGAGTTATATACATGGCCACAGCTGTCTAGTTGGTTTTCAGGTAAATGACTGACTTCAGCAACTTTCGAAAGTATTTGTTTTAATCTCTTCAATTTACATGTTAATTTCATCTAAATATAATTTAAAACCTTTAACTAGACATTTTTCTAATACAATAAACCATATGAAATCAATACATATAGACATAGTTTGGGATAGTGTTTTCCTACCAGGATGAAGCACATATTTCATAGTCTTCTATTTTTTTGTGAAGTTAATTAAAGCCTTTCATTCCTTTCATCAGAATAAACTGCTACAGAGAGTCATCTGTATTTTGTAACGTATGTGACTGAAATATGGAATATGATGCACACTTTTACTGACTTGATGCATGTTGGCACTATTTGGTACTCTTATTGTCATGATTCAGTTGTTAACTTTTTAAAATAAGATTGATCAATATTCCATATAGCTATTTGTTTGTTCTTTTAGCATTGGCTCTGCCTTAATTGTTCAGGGGCAAGGATGAAGGCTGTTCTTTGAGATTTCTAATTACCATTCAGACTGGTTTTGGGGACAATATAGTATGGATTCTGCATCTTATCCATTGAAGAATAACTGGGGTTTGGTTTTGCCTTGATTTCTAGAAAACTTAGACACAATGATAGCTGAGCAGACAAAGAAGAAGCTTGAAAACCCTTCCACTAAAACCAGGACAAAACTAACAGCAGGTACTTACTCTACAATTTTCCTTCCTGGAATAACACTTTTTTTTAACCTATTCAGTTTAAAGTATGCTAATTGCTTTAGCAGCCAAACTGCTTGTAAAAGCCACAGTCTCTCAAGGACCTGTACCAAGCCATGGCTTGGTTGTCTAAGCACACAACAAGAGAGAAATTTTCACTTAATTGTCCAGTCTTTGAGAAGTATATTCATTCTCTTTTTCTTCACTGGTGTCCAGACATTATACATATACAAAAGCAAGCTGTAGCAGTGCTTTTTAATACTAAAATAATAATGAAAAAGCATTATTTGTCAACTTTGAATGTAGCAAATGCAAATTTCATAGAATTTTTCTCTGCACAAAGAAATGTGCCTTTGCATAGCAATCACCTGTATTCTGCTATTGTTTGTGAGAGCAGAAAGAGATATTCCTCTTCCCAGAGGTCTGGAGTACAGATGACCTTTCAAAACCACTTTGAGAAAGGCTCCAGTGAATCTCTTCCTCAACCAGCAGTCAAAATGCTTTACTTGCCGAGATTGTATTGATGGGATTGAGAAATACTCCTGGTACATTTGATACAAAATTGTTTGCTCTTGTTATTTCTTTAGACAAGAGTAGTGAAGAGGCAGACAGTACAAAGGAAGAAGCAGCTAAAATGGAAAAGGAATATGAAGTTTCAAAGGATTCTACAAAAACTGAAGGACAAAATGCAGCAGGAAACAGTGGAGAATCCGGAGGTACAGAACGTTTCTTTCCCTACTATGTGTGCTCGTAGTGATCACAGTCTTTTCCTCTCTTTGGTACTGACTTTCCAAGGTGTTAGCATAAATATCTTCAGTCTATAGTCACTGGGAGTCAGCACACAACAGCTTGATTCAGAGTGTACGTATCTGCCAAGTTTTAAACATATGACACTACATCCCTTGCTGAGCAGACATTCACAGAATTCCTAGACCCTTTTAGAACAATATGAAATGCAGTTTGATGCAGTACTGCAGAGAGATTTTGCTTCTTTGCATCTGTGGCTTTTCAGTGAATTTGGATGGCCAGAATATTCAATAATCTGAGTGGGCCCATTGATTTCTATAGTTGGTGTTAGAATAAGCTGGTACTGAAAGGCAGCGAGAGTTCTGCAGTGACACAATTTACATTTCCCACTGCCAGAGGTTAAAAGTTATCAGTAATTATCCTGTTTTACATAACTTTGAAAACATTACAGTGAGTTAGTGTCTCCCTAAACAAACATAGCATACAGTTACTTTTGTCATGCCTCAGCATGGCAAATAATGTCACGTGCTAAATTACACTGTGCTGGCTGAAGTCACCTGAGTGCAAATCAGCTAATGTATCTGAAAACAAATCTGCAGGGGACATCGTGGCTCCTTATTGTGCTGAACTCTTGAAGGACAATGTTTGTTGCTGCAGAAACCTTTCAGTGAGTTCTTATTGCAAAGTGTCCAGCATAAGTATCTATGTTTTGTAATCAGTTGATTAAACAAAATTGCTTTTTTTGCATCAGTGCTGTCTGATGCTCATACTTTTTGGAATGCAGTGTTTTCACTCAGGCTGCTCAGTAATGAATTGCAGAAATCAGGATGGCAGTAGATTGTAATCCATCCATCACCTGGTTCAGCACTGTGGGCAGTGCAGCCACTCACAGAAGGAAGGTGGCATTTTTTCCAGCAGCTTGTCTATTTCAACATGGAAGAGGAAAATAGATCAAGATGGCTGTCGGATTTCACAGTAAAGAAAAGTTATCTCAATACCCATGGGAAGTGATAAATAACACATTTTGTTTGTCTCTTGAAGATTTGTCTTTTCAGTTTGGTTCCTTTATCTTCAGCCAAATAGCTTTTTAGAAATTTAAATTGGATCACTATTTAGCTCTTTGTCTCATCATGCAATGCCCTTGCTCTTTCAGAGAGTAACTTACTGTAAAGTTACTGCACTGCCAGCTCAAAAATGGGGGTGTATCTAATACTGTATCCCCTTACTAACAGGAGCAGGCATGCATAGTTGGCAGTAGTAACCTTCTACACACTAATCACACTAGGTTTTTAGTCCTGACAAATGTAAGAACATTACATCAATAATGCTCCAGCCAAGTTAAGTATTCAAAATCCATTTGCTGGAATATTTCCTTAGGGGCCTTATTAGGTAATCCTTGTACTAAATCTGTCCTGTACAGTTTCTGGTCCAAAAATATCCAACACTTTAAATTTCAGCTATAACAAGGAGCTATCATGGTAATTTTAATACATCCTTTTTCTCAGTAAATATAGTAACTAATAGTAACTAATTTCAAGTTTTCTTTCCAAACTATCACAATTTTAGGTTTGCTATATGCTGCTAGTACTACTATATGGAGGAGTTTTAATACTGAAAGCTCTCAGCCCTAGTTAAGTCATTCCTTGCTATCTCAACAGCTTTTTCTTTGCTGAGCAATTATGATGATCAAAAAGCTACAGGTTATTTTTAATCTACATATGCAGTTTTGGTGGATGCCACCAAAAGTTATGTATAAAGATAAAAAAAAGCCATGGTCCTAAGTTTGAACAGGCAGCACCTGCTAACCATCTGCGGGAATTTTGCCTGACTGAGTTTGACAGGACTCAGGTTTTAAGCAGAAACTAAGAATAGTTTTAATCTGCCTTAGCTGTGACCAACTTCACCCAGTTAAGCAAGCTGCATCAATCATTGATGTAAGTCCTTGATGTCTCTCTCACCCTTTCCTCCAGGGAAATCTGAGGCATATTTGGAAGCAATCAGGAAGAACATAGAATGGCTGAAAAAACACAATAAACAAGGTAACAAAGAAGGTATGAAGTAAAAGGCTTTGACATTGGGGTGGGCACCATATGCATTAAAAAGCAAGTAATTTATATTGTGTTGTATAACTTACCATTGTGCTATACCTTAAATAATAGTAATGTAAAACTGTGCTTGTCTAGATTATAGTGATCATTAGTGGTGTTAAATAATAGAGGTCATGTAAAAGTTAAGCCAATGAACATAAATAGGGAACTAAGGTAGATTAATGCAGACTGGGTTGAATGGCCACTGGCCACAAAACTCACAGGGACTGACCAGCAGAGAGTTAGTCATGTGCCATCCACGCAGTCATGGTGGTCTGCCTGTCACCAGGTAGCTGTGTCAGCTTTGTCTAGTTCTTCATTTCTTAGCTCTTCATGTTGTTTAATGATGACTCTGTAGGTGAGATAGAGGCATTTGAAATGTCTGGACATGTCTAGAGAAGCTCATGCATCTGGCTAGCATGCCTGCACTGATAGCAACGAGCCTTGTTCCATAGCCAGGAACAGTTGAGATACAAACTTATGTCAGTAGCACTGTAATACGTTGGATTACAGCCCAAATCAACTCGAATGACTTGTAGCTCTCACATGCAAAGCTGTGTAGAAGGGAACAGTGACTGAAGCAGCTGCATGGGGTTTGCTCACCAGCTGTCCCACCATTTGCCTCTTGCTCGGAGGCAGGGCTGTAGGAGAGCTGCCGGCAGGGACAGAACAGCAGCAGGATTTCTCCTTTATTTTTCATGGATCTTTATTTATCCATACCATCTTTTCCCTCAAGTTCTTACATAAAACCACCCTCCTATCCCTGTTCTCTGCCATGGCTGTGTGTTCTGCCATTGCCTGCTCTGGAAGTGAAGGTTCCTAGCCAGGGGATCCATCCCTAGGCTATGACTGGCGCCTGGTGAGAAGGACCCTTCTTGCACCAGCCAAGCAGAGGGTGATCTGCGATGAGATTAGCCCTGGGTAATCTATCCATCCTCTCTGTGTGTTGAAGTGTGTATGAATTCCATTTCAGAGATGAGTGCATGCCGACAGCCCAACACATTCATTTTTCTGTACAGAAACTGTAATAGGAAAGACTATAAAAAAAAAATCCATCTCTCAAATAGCTTCCACACAATGGCAGCGACGGCAGTTAGCAGCAGGCCTACATATTTGCTCAAGAGTTTTCCTGCCAATTTTAATTAATGATTCTGTTTAGCAGTGTACTCATTATAGTAATTAGATCTCCATCATGTGTGATTATATCTCTGTATCACACATACTGCCTGAGCAGCCCCTTGCTCCTCTTTGTAGTAATCTTCCTTCTGCACTGCTGCAGTTTGAAAATGGCTGTGACTGCAGATCAATAGCATTTTATCTGCCTGTGAATGCATTAAGATATATATATCTGTGTAGATGGATTTTCATTTACTCTAAAATATCTTTATTGTCCTTTGGCAATGGAAATAGACCTTAAAGTGAGTGTAAGTTATGACAAAATTAGAATAGCATTCTTACCTTTCTGATACCTCATCTTTATTGTGCCTTTTCATACTCTTTATTTTTGTAAAATGCTAATTCAGTTCCCCTGGGATGATGTTAAAAGAAGTAGTCAGGGTAAGCTTATCTAACCGTGAATGCATTGCAGTGTTTCTTCAGTGCAAGATTAGGTGGTGTTGCTGTGCTCATCAATCATTTCTCCACTTCCAGCTGGCACCTGGGGGCTGCCAGAAAAGCGATTCTCAAGGTAATTCATGTATTAAAATGGCCAGACTTTCCTAGCCCTACTCATGGATTGGTTTACTCACTGAATATCCTTGAAGAGGTTAAGGTTTTCTTCAGGCAAATGTGTGTGGGTCTTTCATTTTGTATGAATTTCAGTAGATACTATTCATTCTATGACTAATAATCCTGGAAATGTTCATTTGCATTTCTGCAGTTTGGAAGTACCAATTGCTTATTAAGGAGGCTCGTTAGCTTGAGTGGCTGGGATGAGTTAAAGATAAACACGTCAAAAGCCTGGATTTTGGGCTTATTGCCTTTTGTGTCCAAAGTTTGTTTTGCCTGTTTACAACCTCCAGGCTCCATGGGCCTGTCCTTCATATCTCACAGACCTGGCTTGATGCTTGAAACCATTGCAGAACACAGCATTTAACCGATGCATGCAAAGAGCGTGTGTGGATTGTTCAACATATACTTAGGTAGTTCAGAGCTTCATAACACTAACAGCAGCCATTTAGAAATGAAAGTGAATCCTGTCATTAATTTCAATGGCAAATGGCTTGATCTGAATATGCAAATAAGAGCTCACTTCATTTACTGGAGCTGTTTCACAGCTCCATGTAATGCTGCAGCTGTTGCAGTGAATCATCATCCAAAGCTGATTTTTCTAATTACAATAGATTCTAAATGAGTATCAGAAATTGGCAGTTATCAATTTCTAGAAAAAAAAAACAATTTAAATTGCTGTGAGATATACAAATTAGCCTGAATTAGATAATATCATAATGGTTGTAATCCCATACAGGATGTTTAGTAATTAAACCTTCACATCTCCACATAATAATCTTAGAGTTAGAAACAGTGTTCTAGAAGTAAAATAAGCACAGAGATTTTAATGTGAAAAATGTGGACATTAAATTAATTTAGTATTTGGTGTGCATTCATTTCTATTCCTTGGTATCTTTCACTGGAGACCCTCATTTTGTCAACATGAATGAAATCTCTCATCCCAATTATGAAATTGCTCAGTACTATTTGTCCCTATTACTCATACAGGATGGAGACACAAGCAGGTTACATTCTCTTAAGTAATGACAGTAACAGACCAGACAAGAAATTATCTCCTCAGTACAGCAAATGGCAAAATTCCTGCTAACTCAGATATGGAGAGAACACCTCTGCAGGACTGGGGAGTGTGAATATCAATTCTCTGTATTACTCATTTGAAATTGCCTTATGCTGTTATAAAAATGATCACAAGTATCAATTTGCTTCTTAATATCTTTCTATTTCTATCCTGTTTTGGTCAATGTTTGAAACCTAAAGAACCACAAATTCATTATTGTCTATTTTGTTAAGAATGCAGAGTTTGAAAGAAGGTTGTTCCATGTATTTCTGTGTGATATTATACATTGGACATTGCAAAACCAGTTTTAATGTATTCTGAAGGCCCTGTCTGTGGAACATGTAATTTATGTTGAAAAATTCAGAATGTATTCATTCTTGTAAAAGATACTAATTCATTTGACTTAGTATGAACCCTTAAAACATTGATGTTCTTCTTCTGGTTCTAACAAAATAAGCTTTACATTTATGCAGCTAATTATATAACTGAAACTTTATTGTGTTTATATGTGAATATACTGAATCTGCTGCCAGAGTCACAACTACACAATAGGTTACCTTCCTATGTTATTTGAAAAATTGCTTTGCAGTAGAATTTTTTTCATGGAAAATAGCAATGTTTTCCAGCATAGGAAAAGCCTGTTTAATGCATATAGTGTGAATCAGGCTGCATAGATGCAGTCATCTATTGGAAAAGGAGGAAGGATCTTTCAACAACTCTGTTGCAGATTGACAGAGGAAGATTGTCAAAAACTGACACTAACACTGTCACAAAGGCTGCTCACTGCAGTAGTTTTCAAACCAGAATATTATGTTCTGTATCAAGGTAAATAATTGTATTATTTTGATCTATTTTCAGACAGTTGCTTTCATGAATTTCCACTACAGTTGTAATAAGTGGGAATTTTACTGGGATTTCAACTGGAAATAGTCCATTTAATGCTTTCTTTTGATTCCAAGGCAGTTGTGAAAATAATAGGACACAGCAGCTTTTGCTATGCAGACTAGAACATCAAATCCCTGGACTGGAAAATATTCTTGCTTTAGCATTTGACAGCAATCAATCAAGACCAAGAGATGATTATTCCTCTTGGACAATAAAAGCACCGTGGTGTGTAAAAAGATTTGTGCAGCTGTTTTGGGTTTTTTAATGTTTTCACAAATTGCACTTAGAGAGAATTCTCTTCAAGTTTGATTAAGTGCATTGGTTGGATAAGCTTTACAATGACATCTTTTCTTAGGTGAAGCGGTATAATGGCAATGACTCACTGTGCAAATGAATTCTTATTTTGCAGACTATGATCTTTCAAAGCTGAGGGATTTCATTGATCAGCAAGCTGATGCTTATGTGGACAAGGGCATCCTGGACAAGGAAGAGGCTGATGTAATTAAACGCATCTATGGCAGCCTGTAAAGAGTTAGTGACTGCCAAACCTGTAGAAATCTAGTCTAGTTTCCCCCACTCCTGGCTCAATTACTTATGATCTGTTAATTTGAGGATATCATTAGAAATGCTCTGTTTACATTGTACTGACAACTCTAGACAGAAATGAAGAGCTGTAGTGCTCCATTCACTTTCTGCATACTGTATTTTCCCACATTCACAAAGCAACTCTAAACACCAAATTCTGACACTGAATTTATATTTGATAAGGTAAATATTTCTGTAATGCTCTCTTTGATTTATTGTTTGTGTTTGGTTTACTTTTGTAGCTAATCCAATCATTTCTGATGGAAATTTCTTTTAATGCTACATTTTTTTGCTTTCACTCAACTAGCTTTCTATAGATGTAACTATGTAAAGGGCATTATGAGAAAATAGTTCATAGTTCTCTAAATAAAATATTTGAAAATAATTTACCCATTAAAGTTTTCATTAATCTTATTTTATATTAACTAATTTTGGTTTTAAATACTAACACCTTTTTTTTTATCCTTTTTATTGCTTTATGCAGTATTCTGTAACTTGGACTGTAGTGTCCTTAGCTAACTGATAAATCTTTGACATTACAATTGCTTTCGATATTACAGAGTTGTATTCTCTTCAGCATGTGTGAGCATTCTCTGCACCATTTGATGATTGTGCATGCATAATTAGTTGAATTCCTGATATGAATATCCTGATAGCAAGTGTAAATAGCCATTGCTTTCTCTAAAGAAGAAAAAAAAAAAGAAAGCAATTCAAGTAATTTTGTATGGAAAAGGAAGTTTGCAGCTAGAGATGTTTTTAGGAACATGGGCCCTGCTTTTCAGAAAGACCTAAGGAATCTGTTGTACCTCAGTATCTCTGAATATCAAGGCTATGGTCTGATTACTGACCCCTGTTCTGTGCTGAGAAGTATTATCTTGGAGAGAACTTTTTTTTTTGGCCTATATATGCTAGCATTAGCCAAGAATTCGGTACTTCCCGAAGAATCAAAAAGCAAAACAAAAATATTGTCCTCATTCTTCTTCCTCAACTAACAGAGTTTTGGAAGAATGGTTTATGAGGTCTTTTCTCTTTAAGTGACTGGATAACTTTATGTATGAAGAACTGATGAAGTAAGATCAAAGGTAAAGAAGCATTTAGAAAGGTAAATTTCAAAGAGTCCCAGAAGATGTAAGGCCTTAGACCTATCACCTGCAGTCAGTTGAGTAGAGGAACTCCAGGAAAGCCCTGTACTCTTTACTTACAGATTCTTCATTCATAATTGAAGTTATCCCTTCCCTGATTTTTTTTTAAACTTATGATATCTCTAAGATTGATACAGTTAAAAAATGTTACCTGATGCTGAGGCTGGAATGCCAGTTAACAGAGTTTGCCTGCCAGTTAATGGAGATACTGACTTAGAACACTGCCTGCACAGCACAAAGTTCTGTAAGTGTTTAGTCACTCCTTGGGTCATTTCCTTCCTCACAGCTGGAGATTAAAGAGGAGGAGATTTGAGCAATGTTTCTCAGCCAACTGAAGTAAACTCTGGAATCCCTGCAAAACTTAAATTGTCAGCTGAGCATTATTGATAATCAGTATTAAGTGAATGTGATGGCACTGAGGTCTAACAGCATAACTCCTTGCAAACTGATGAAACATTAGCCAGTGAATGTTTTCTAGCATCCACAAAATACATCATCACTGCCTGCTCATACACATCCTGACATGAATCATTGAATTGCAGTATCAGTCACTAGTGGTGACTTATTTTATTTTTTTTTTTGTAAAAACTGTATTCAAAAATGTAATCAATGTAAGCTTCCTCTGATAAATAGTCCCTTAGAAACTCTATAGAGAAAATAATTAGGAAAAAAAAATTAATGTTACTTTAAATCAGTGTATTTGTTCTCATCTAAACCCTCTCATTTGTTTATTATTATTTGCTATTGTTTCCATAGATCTGAATTTCTTTATGTCCCTATATATCTCAGTTGCATTCTGCAATAGCTTCTGACTTCCTTTCTTACGTGTCCATCACATGGGAAAAGCAAACTGTTTCCCAAATTTGGATTTATGACAGAAATCGGGAGGATGGTAACTAACCACAGACCTTTACTGGGGAAGTGGTAGTGACCTAGGATCTGCACTTGAAAAAACAAAAAAGGGATAAACTGTCATTCCCCAAGGGCTACTTTAAAAAAGACCCTAAATTTTCTTCTCCTGTCAATATGATGAGTAGTATAAGAATAATTTAAATTTTCATTGGAAATTAGTTTCTTACATCCTCTTATGAGTCTGGTACTAAAGGGCAGATGTCATCAACTAGTGAGCAGTGATTATGAACAGTGTGTGGTGGTATTTCTTAACCTCTCAGTTTTGCAAATTTTATAGCTTGAACAAAGAATCAGTGACATAACTTAGGAAAACAGAAACCCAACAATGGGTATGACCTGATTGCATTTCAGGTTATGCACGTTCTGGGACTTGTTCTGTGCTTACCCTGCTGCTGTGCATCCCTGGGGGTACACATGGAGATAATTGGAGCAGCCTGATGAGTAGCTGAGAATGGAGTGAGCCTCTGACAGATAGACCAGAGATCACAGCTAAGGTTCCTCAAACTAAATTCACTTTCCATCCTGCCCAAGCCCACCAAACTTGTTACTTGAATGCTTCAAAGACTGGTTCCATTGCTGGTACATGGAACATCTATCAGTACATCATACCTTTCAGAACCAGAGAGTGAAACACAGCCAGCCTGATGAATCACCGTGCATTCCTAAAGGGTTGTGACTTACTCGAAATAAAATCAAACCCAGTGACGCAAGTTTCAGCCTGCACCACGGATCAGTCCTTATTTTGCAGGGAACACTTGAAGCACATTAGGACTTGACATGCACTGCTGTGTTAGCCATAATTAGTAAATCAGAGTGCTTGCTTTCTTCCTGGTGAGAAAGGTATTTTCAACAACTCCACATCTCTGTTTCAAAATTGACAGAAATCAGTTTCTGTGTTGTTTCTATCTTTTCTGGACCCTTCAGAAATCCTTCACTTCTAAATTATCACTGAAAATGTAACAAGTACAATATATATGGTATTCACCTTTTGAGCTTTTCTAATAGACTATTGTTTCTGATACTGTACTTTATTAAACACTTTACTACAAGCTACATTAGTGTGCTGCTTTTGGCTGGGGTAGAGTTTATTTTCTCCACAATAGCCATTATAGGGCTATGTTTTGGGTCTGTGTTGGAAACACTAACATGTTGATAACACAGAGGCATTTTAGTTCCTGCTGAGCAGAGATTGCACAGAGCCAAGGCCTTTCCTGCTCCTCTCCCCACCCCTGAGGAGGCTGGGGGTGCACAAGAAGCTGGGAAGGGACCCAAGCAGGACAGCTGATCCCAACTGACCCAGGGGATGTCCCAGAGCATGTGGTGCCATACTCGGTGTGTAAAGCTGGGGAAGGAGGAGGAAGAGGGTGTTCAAAGTGACAATGTTTGTTTTGTTTTCCTGAATGACCCTTACTTATGGTGGAGCCCTGCTTTCTTGGAGATGGCTGAACACCTGCCTGCCTATGGGATGTGTGAATTTTTCAAGTGGTTTGCTTTCATGCCCAGCCTTTGCATTACCTATTAAACTGGCTTTATCTCAACTTGTGAGTGTTGTGCCTTTCCCCCTTGTGATCTCTGCCCCATCACTCTGTGGGGGGAGTGAGGGGCTATGAGGGGCTGAGCTGCCAGCTGGGGTTAAAGTACAAGAAGCAGTACAAGGCTGCTGTTGTGTGTCAAAGAAAATGCATCTTTTCTATCTGCTGCCCAGCTTTTTGAGGCTGTCCAGCACCACGGATCTACAGCAGCTCACTGCCATGCAGGAAGGGGTGGGGTGCTACAGGGATGCCCTTCTGAGAATGTTACATGCAGCTACAGCACCTGGTGGCTGAGTTAACTGGATTCACAGGGCTTTAGTAGCCTCCAGCCACATTGCAACCGAGTCCCAAATGAAAATTTGTTACCAGGTATGTCCCACATATTTCACTTACAAAGATCCTTGTCCAAGCCTGCCCAGGTTTTGACTTTTCAAGCTTTGACTGAAGAAATGTGTAAAAACAAAACTTCAAACATGCAAGTTCCTCAGCACAAAATAGCTGCTTTTATCAGCTTCACTTCAGCCTGACATTGCTCTATTCCCACCCTAAACCACACCTTGCAGGATTGGTAAAAATATGTAAGCAAAGAATGAAACTACAAGTGTATGAAGAATAAAAACAGAGTAGGAAGCAAAATATACATGGAAATGAATAAAAATACATAAAATATACAGGAAAATATGTCACTTTGCTAAGAAATAATAAAAATGTGAATCAAGATATTAAAACATTAGTTATTTCAGGGCCTTAAGAACACCTGTAAAAGCAGTAAAGCCCCACCTTGACTTGCTCTGGGGGTATTACAGACAATTTCCAGGCACTGTTTCCTCTCGTGTGCTCAGCTGTCCTGGGGCTGAGCAGGCCAGGGGTGTCTCAGGGCCCTGTGTGTGACACCCACAGAGCTGAGGGGGGCTCGTGGCACAAGGAACTGACAGAGGCACAGCAAAGCAATTCCCAGGAGCATTTTACCTTTACATAAAACCCAGGCAGTCAGTCTCTGGATTTGCCCAAGGGATTGTGATGACCTAGCTACCTATCTAATCTGCCTGAAAAGCAGGAAAAGGCATTAGTTAAACACAGGAAATGCAGCTCTGTGCCCCCGGGGGCTGCCAGGACAAACACTCCGTTATCTGGTGCTCGGCCACAGCCAGGGTGCCCACAGATGAGGAGCCCCGGCCAGCGGCTCCTCAGAGCCCCGGCACGGCCCAGCCACCGACAGCAGCGGCCTGAGGGCACGGCAGGGCGGCCGTGGCACTCTGCTAACCACGGGAATAACACTTGCTTCCTGCTTCGGCAGGAAGAACCAGAGAACATGGAGTGGAAGCTTTGAGGCCCCTCTGCCTGGCCCTGAGCCTTTGGGGCACCAGGAAGAACGTCTGTGTGGCAGGAGAGGAGCAGGGACCTGCTCTGGGACAGCGGTGGCCAGGCAGGCTCTCGCAGGTGGCCTTTGTGCTGGGCACTGGTGGCCCTGAGCTCCTCCCTGCTTCACCCTGTGGCACGGGTGGCCTGGGTGTCTCTGCGGGCTTTTCCCCGAGTGCCAGCCGTGCGTGGCTGTGGCGCGGTGCCCAGCGATGAGGGGTGCCAGCGGTTAGCAGGTTTTACAGTGTCACGTTGTGTGTGGCTGTGGAGGTGTTCCCAGCGAGGAGAGATTCTGTGGGTTATCAGGGGCAGGTATCTGTGTGTTATCATGTATTATCTGCAGCGTGCCCACTGCTGTCTGAGGGGATGGGTGTGCAGCCATTGGCACTGGTGTGTTTAGGCCGCTTCCTCCCTTGTGCTTATGTGTGGCAGCTTTCTGC